TGCCTACATTATTGAATTTTTTTTTTAAGAGCCTAACCAACTAAGGGAAGGGAAATACTCAACTCTCCATTCCACCTGAGAGGGGTAGGGGAAGGCTACATGGCTCTTGTGAAAAATCATAGTCGGAGGCACAGGCTCTCCAAAAGACTGGGCCCTAATCACAGAACTAGGGCCACTTCCTCTTTCCCCGCTTCTTAACCACCATGGTACTAAGTGTACATTCACCAAGGTTTCTTTTATCTGGTACATTAGTTCAGTTATCAAGAAAAAAAAAATCACTGCTCAGCCTGGTGGCACATACCTATAATCCCAGCTACTTGGAAAGCCAAGGCAGGAAGACAGAAAACTCGAGGTCAGCTTGGGCATTTTAGTGAGACCCTATCTAGGGGTCTGCCACTGGGGATTGAGCCCAGGGGTTCTTAACCATTGAGCCACATCCTCAGCCCATTTTATTTTTTAATTTGAGAGACAGAGTCTCACTAAGTTTCTTAGGGCTATGGTGAGTTGCTGAGGCTGACTTCAAACTTGCCTTCCTCCTGCCTCAGCCTCCAAAGCTGCTGGGATTGTGGGCATGCACCACCATGCCCGGTTCAAATTTTTTTTAAAAAAGGGAAGAGGATATTAACTCAGTGGTAGAGTATCTGCCTGGCATATGTGAGGCAGTGGGTTCCATCTGCAGTACCAGGATCATGAAGCAAACATCAAAACCTGAGTCAGATAAGGCAGTGTGGTTGGAATTATCAGACTGGGAATCTAAAATAATTGACTAATGTGCAAAAGGTTCCAATGAAGTAGACAGCCCACAGAAACAGGTAATGTAAGCCGGGAGCTGGAAATTCTAAGAAAGAATAAAAAGTAAAAGTTAATGATCAAAATGTTCTAGCAGAAATGCAGAATACTTTTGATGCGCTCATGAGTACTCTGGCTATAATGAAGGAAAGAATCTCTGAGTTGGGGAATGTTTCAATAGAAACTTCCAAAACGAAAAGCAAAGAAATAAGAAGCTAAAAGCAGAACAAGATACCCAAGCACTGTGGAAATACTACAAAGAGTGTAACATACACATAATGGGATACCAGAAGAGAAAAGGCAAACAAAGGAACAAAGGAAACATTTGAAGCAATAATGACTGAGAATCTCCTCAAACTAATGTCAGACACCAG